CACAGCACTGAGAATCTAAAGCTGCTTCCGCATGATTTCGATTCCCGCCTCCTTCAGAGGTGACCATATGGTGTGGCAGACCTCTCCTGACCCACCCTCAACAGTGTAATTCGTCAGTCAGCCTGTTCTGTCTCTGGTGAAGCTTCTCACCGCCCCTGAGCTTCTGGCCTGTACCCCAGTGCTGTACGCACAAATAAATAAATCTTTAAAAAAAAAAAAAAAAAAAAACTTAGTGAATAGGAGTTGCTCCTGAGGAATGACATAATCCAATGTTTGGCTCTCAAGAACCCCCTAGAAAACCTTGTTTTCCTCTGAAAGGTTCTGTTTTTCCTTCTCTGGGTTAAGATCTTACAATTGAGAAACTTCAAAATCTCCTAGATAATTCTAATATGTTTATAGTGTTAGAAATCTTGGGGGTGAGGATAGAGGTGTGGAGTGAAAGAATTCATCAAAAGTAGACTGGAAAGGCCCTCCCTGGTGGCGCAGCGGGTTAAAGCACAGCACTAAGAAGCTTAAGCCACTTCCGCATGAGTTTGATCCCAGCATGCCCCGAGAAAATCCACATGACGTGGCAGACCACTCCTGACCCTCCCGCTGCTCCCCTCAGCAGTGTACTTAGTCAATCTGCCTGTTCTGCTGCCCACTCTGTCTCTGGTGAATCCTCTCACCATCTGCATCTCTGGCCTGTACCCCAGTTCTGTATGAATAAATAAATAATTAAAAAAAAAAAGCAGACTGGAGAAAAGAAGAGGTGGATTTATTGAAATATTCTGCTAAGAGAAGCAATGGATGAGATGAGAGAGGTATGTATGGGGAAAAGGATTTGAGCTCCTTTATTTTCATGGGCTTTCTTAGGGCACCAGTTTCTTGCTGAAATATCTGGTCTCTGATACTGGCATTTGACACAGATACATATCCTGGTTGCTGCTTCATATTCCTGGAGCTGGGCTGGTTTTTCTGGTCACGGTGGTTGGGTCCTATTGCCTTGTCCTCAAGGCAGCCTTATCCAGCCTTATCTATTCAGACTTCCCAAAACTGACTGTTGGGCAGGGAGTGAGGCTTAGATTTTTTGTTGTTGTTGTTTGTTTTTATATTTTAATGTTTTTATTTATGCATACAGAACTGAGGTACAGGCCAAAGATGCAGAGGGTGAGAGGATTCACCAGAAACCATGTGGGGAGCAGAACAAGCTGATTGACAAAGTATTCTGCTGAGGGGAGCAGTGGGAGGGTCAGGAGAGGACTGCTGCACCATGTGGCTCACCTATGGGGCTGGGAATTGAATGTGCTGAAGTGGCTGCTGCTAGCTTTGCAGTGTTAGGCGTTAACCTGTTGCACCACCAAGAAGGGCCCAGGGGCTTAGTTTTTAACGTTATTAAATTGTACCCCAACAATGTTATGGGTAAGACACACTGTATAGTTCCAAGCACTTTATTTTACAGATGAATACACACTGGATGGACATCTCCATAGCTCTCTAGCCCATCAGTGACATAACAAGTGCTAGATTTCAGTATCAACTCTATTGCCACTTAACATTCTTTATCTTCTTGACCTTATTCCTTTTCTACTCTCTCTAATATTGTTTGTATTTAATAGCAGTGAGTCTGTGGTAAATGTTTAGTAAACATGAATTGAATACATCATTTCTTGTGTCAGATTGCCAATAGTGGCCATGTTGGGAAAACCTGTCAATGGTAAATGAGTATACAAAATGCCATCAGGTTTGCAGAGAGCTTCAGGGCATTAGGAAGCTTTCTGGTTGTTTTTAAACTCAATAAACTGTCCCCACTTAACCCTAGAACTTGCAATGACTATGTCAGTTTCCATGGTAGCAGCTAATTATTATAGAGATTTTAGACCAGACTGGGGGTACAGAGAGCCAGTCTAGACTGTGGGAGGAAGAGACTGCAGACCTGAGGCTCAGCACAAAGAGGTTAAAAATAAAATCTGTTATTAGATCTTACTAACATAAAGAAGACTTAAAAAGGTGTGAACTTGGAGATCCAGGGCAGGATGGGGTTCCCAAGAACTGGCACTCATTCACCAAGAAAGTTATAAATGAGGAGGAGATGAAAGCAGAGGTCTGCAAAAATGAAGCCTGGAAGGTGGAGTTTATAGAAGTATGTGTCTCCTCGCTATGATTAAAAATCCAAGTTCTCCCCTGAGAGCTTTTGTCAGCAACACCTATAAGTTCTCTTTCTTTCTGAAACATCATGGGCCTCGACTCCATCCCCTGAGATTTATATTCCATAGAAAGAGTGAAGATTCTGATGCACATGCTTAATTTAAGGGAGTTTTAGTTCAAACTGATAATGATCTTTCACCCACCCCTCATGCTAATGCTGGCAACTGACCCATATAGAGTTGTAATCCTTCCTGTGCAAGTCAGGTTTCTTTAATATGAAAATTACCCTGGAGAAGTCATAATTAAAGACTATACATTATTGATATTCTCTGATAACTGAATAGTTTTCATTACTTACTTTAGGTAGTTTTGATAATAATCTTTTTGACAGCAATGTATTTGCAGGCTATTGTTTTGCCCTCTCCCAGCTTGTGGGGAACACAGCTACCTACACCTTAAATGGGGCACTCTGAGTGCCTATTTTATCATTTAGTCTTTGATTATAGAATGTCCAGTTTTTACAGATGAGGAAAGTTCAGTAAATTCTCCTAGCATTTTTTTCTATCACCAACTTGATGAGAAAGGAGCTCAGTTAAAGGAATAGAGCATTCTAATGGGTGGGGTGACTGAAGTAATTGATAGGTAGCCCCGAGCTCTTACTCCAGGAGCCCAGTGAGTCAGATCCTACCCAAACCATCTCCTCTTCCAAACATGGCCACCTTGAAAGAAAAGCAAGCCAAGGATTTAATTTTATTTAAAAAAAATTTATTGAAAAAGAGTAATACTTTATACAAATTCCCACTACAGAACCCCAAAATATCTGTTAGTCCTGTTTCCAGATATGATAGAATACAAAAATATCAAAACTGAAGAAATTCTGGTGTAACAATTCTGTTGACTATTTTAGACTATAGATTTCTTTGTGGAGCTTAACAGCTAGTAACCATATGCATTTACACTGACACATCATTAATACACCTTCTAAAAGCAAAGATTCTCAGGCTTGGAAGACACTCTAAAATTCAGTAGATTCAAAACTTCCTATGATACAGTCTTTTGGATAATATCTCAATATGTATTACCCTGCCCAAATGATCATATTCCAGTGTCAACTGTTATTTAGGAAAAATATCACTGTTGGTATCATTTAAAAATAATCCACCTTAGATACCCTTGCAAGTTATTATAATTATAATTCAAAAAGCCATATTTTGACTTTGCCAACACTAACACTTTTGTTGTACTTTTCACATCCACAGGTCAAGTCTGCATTCTTCAAAGGAGAAAGACTTAGATTGAAGTAATTAACAATTACTTAAAATCCTTTTCATTTAGTAAACTGGATTTTGCTTTAGCGTGTCTTTACTTCAGAGATTTGTTGGGGTAAGAAACCCATTTTTTTTTTAAATTTCCCTCTGCAGTCATTTGAAAGGTAATCTAAAACCTATGCATTTAAATTCCTTAATTCTTTCCCCTAGTATAGTACTTTTCACCTTATAAAACCACATTTACATATATCCCATCTCACTGGATTCCCCACAACAGCTCTGTGAGGTAGGCAGGTCAGGAATTACAATCCTCTTTTTATGGATGGAGCAATAAATCTAGGCCAGCAAGTGTCTTGCTCAAACTCAGACAGTAATTGATAGCACCAAGACTCAAGTCAGGTCTCCAGACAGCAAAGCTGACACCCTTTTATTACATCATCTGGTTTATGTGAAGCAGCATTTTCCACAGACTGGAAACTAAGAACAATTGTTAAAATGGAACAGAGCACAAAGGAAATTCTAGGTGCAACTAAAAGAAAGGAAATGGTCTGGTGGGGAAAGGAAGGTACTGAATGATGGGAAGGTATGTTTTTAGGTTTGGTTCAATGATTTCTTAATAGCCAATTGAGCACATAAAATCACTACTGACACATACTTCATGTTCCAAGAATGTACATAATACTGCCTAATTGATAGTCACACCACCTCTACCAGCTGGTTAAGTATTATTATCTCAATTTGACAGATGGGAAAAACAGGGAAAGATTAAGTGACTGGCTTACAGCTATGGAGAGAATCCTTGTCACCAGATTATCACTACAGAAAGTCTAGCACATCATTCAGACAAACAGACCACACCTCCTATAGTGAGGAGGTATAGGGAAAAATCAGGCTATTTGGAGAGGATATGCAACTATTAATAAGTAGCTTGAAAATTTAATCGATAGAATTGTGTTACAACATCTGGGAAAGTAGCACACGGCTTCTCACTGGGACAAATATTTTCAAAGTAAACAAGAGTGTTATGGGTCAAAGTCCAGGGATCATGTGGGAAAGTCAACGGAATCTCTCATTCTGGTCTAAAGGAAGAGTTGCCTCAAAGATTTTATTTGTAAGAAGTCCCTGCTGATATTAGGAATTAAATTGCAAGCTTATGAAATGTGTTATTAGATACAAAACTTAAGCCCAGCCTAATAAAAAAAAAAAAAACACATAAAGGCAAAAGAATGAGTGACTGTAGTCAAAGCAAGTGCTATCAGACCATAATAAAAAAATAAAATGAGCATACAAAAAGAGTAAATGAATTGAGAGAATGCATACTTGTAGTTGAAGACTTCTGTAATAAACTGTGCATTAGTTACAAATGATCATTCAAAGCTGAAGGAAGGTAGATGACCTATTATATTTGTGTACATATGAAATGAGAAATATACCAAATAAACTGCTAACTTAATCAACATAGAATTAAATACGTATTTCTTTTTAGATATATTTTAATTATATTGGTAGTAATGTAATGAGAATAAGAATTTGTGCTATCTAATTTTTTATAGAAAACCAGGTATATACATACTATATATATTTGAGATGTGGTCCTCCCCATATCTGAAGTAATTATTCAGTGCTATTTAATAATACAAATGGAAAAGACTTCCCTCTGTATTGAGGAAAGAAGATAAAATAAAACTAAGCCATTTTTATCAATGGGTGTTTTTTAAAAAATGTGTGTGTTTTCTTTGGGGGCGGGGGGGGACATTAATACCACAGTTCAGACTACAAAAGTCAAGTCTAATGTCGTAATGTCAATGATGGTATTTCAAAGTCCGTTTTGTTTTGTTCCAACGGGGTTATCTCCTTTTTGATTCTGTGTCACACATAGTCTTTCCCACTGGATGGTGCAGGTTTCGGATATGGCCGTGGTGTTGGGTAAGATGTTGTTTTTCTGGGACAGGAGCAGCAAAGTAGGGCACCTCCCAGAATGCAGAGAGAAGCAGCAGCCCAGCCAGTGAAGAGAGCCTGACCAAATTCATACCTTAGAAACAAAAGATAGTGCATTTGGTTAGCCTAAGAATCATTGGAAATTTTCTACACTTGATCTTAGTCAAAAGGCTAAAAAGGCATCATTGGAAATTTCTATTATAAATAATTCAAGGATATAAATACCATACTCATTTTCTCCTCCCAATGGAAATTAAAGCTCCAATCCCTTGAACATACTTTTAAGTTTTGTGAACACACAAGCAGAAGAATGTTGACATTGCAATTGTTGACAATTTGCAGTAACAGATCAGGCAACATTGTATGTAATACCAGGTTACTTGGGCAACTATTTCCAAAGACTTTTCCATGTGTAGGAGACTGGTAAATCATGTTCATATATTTTAGAAGTTGGGTTTGGACCCTGGTTCCTAAGCTAAAGCTTAAAAAGCTATGTTATCAGCAAGTAACAAGCATATTCTGTAAAGAAACTGCTAGAGTGTTATGAAAATGATTGTAGTTGTTAATTCCTGCCTGATCCCAGGTACCTATACACTGAAATGTGAAATATATGCCTTGGTAAAAAAAAGAGCTCTAGACAGCTCATAGGCCTTTCTAGAGTAGAGTTGATTCAGGTGGACATGCCATGCCAGACTCATGGGGAGAGGATCTGAGCTAACTGTGGGCAATAAGGACAGAGAAGGGATCCATCTAAAGTTATAAGGTCTGGGTTGGAATCCTGAAGCAAATGCTCACTTGTGACTGTGAACTCCTAGCCTCATTTCTCAACCTCAGTTTCTGCTTTTTTTTAGAACAAGATTATCTTACCTGCCCTACTGGACTGCTTTCAGGAGCAGTTTCACATGAGACAATGTAAATAACAGGTATACAGTTCCTAGCAATTTGTAAAGTGCTTTCGCATCCATTACTAATAAAATTTTAGCCTGCTGACCTCCAGCAGTTTCTGTCTCTGCATGGTACATCTCATGGAAGGGTTCCAACACAATCACTGCAGCATGTGTTCTCCTCCACGTGGGAGTTTGTATAAAAAGAATCACACCTTATCTCTCCAACCACAGGGATTTTTCACCCATTCATCCTAGACTCAACAAACAATAATTACATTTTAACATCCTGGCTCTGAAGGTAATTATGAGGCTTTAAAGACGTGAACAAGGTTGAGACAAAGAACCTTGTCGCTGATCAAAGAATGTCATTACAGGACAGGCAAGAATCAGCTCTGTAACTTCCAGAACTTGTAATATTATTAAGAAGAGTGACCTTTTAAAATCAATGTTATAGTTGTGGTGGAACATATAATTTGAAAATGGTATTGCAACTTATTTTTTTCATTAATTTTTTTTTTATACAAGTAAACAAACTGATGAAATTAAACATACTGGAGATGACCCCCACAACAGCATTATTTTCTTCGAATAACTCTAAACTGTGCTTTGTTACAAATAATCACAAGTAAGTGTTATATTGAAGTATACTTCAAAAGGAAGCTTCAAATAAATCAACGTTTTTATTAATATAAAAAAAATAGGAACTACCATGTCATTGTAAAGTTTAGTACTTGAAACCTGCTTGAAGTGCATTTGTCCTCAATATAGGCTATTAAAGCAATTATCAAACTCATTTTAAGATGAGTCACAAGGCATTCAAATTACTTTCAGGTTTGACATGAATTTCTCCCAAAGTTGTGGAAATCAAAGCTGGGAATGTATGACATTGGCTGGACTTTGCAAAACACAAACAGTACATTCTCAGAGACCGGTTTATTTTGTACATAAGAAGCATTACCTGGCATTGACCGGGGTCATGGGGTCATAGAATTCTTGAACAATTCTATTTCCATACCATGCTGTGGCAACTAAGAGAGCCAGACCTATAGAAATTCAAAACAAAAAACATTGTTAATCACTTGAAACATTGAGCAGAAATACATACATATTTTACAAAAATTAAATTGTATCAATAATGGTAATACTTTTTATTTAGCCAATTTTAACTTAGATTAAAGCTTCAGACATGATTTATTCCTATTATTTTAGGACAAACAAAAACATTCAGTCAGAGTTAGGAATGAGTTTTATACTTTCTGTCATTTTACTCACTTATAGTTTAAGGTTACTGATAAAATGATAATTACAAAACAAACAGTATTTTGGAAACATACAGCAAGTCATATCATGCTAGAAAGCCTTTAAAGCTATTGCTATCCACTAGTGTACTAACATACTTTTGATAAAACCAGAATTACTCGCAAAAGGGAAGATGAAATCTTGCTATATTCTTTTTGACAAAAAATAACCTCAAAATTACACCCCTGCATGGTCAGAGAGAGTAAGTAGCCAGAGAGCAGGGAAGAGCAGCCCATGTCCTCAGAATGGACTATTCCCAGACGTGGCAGCAGTTACCTTGTGCTTTGCTGTGGTGCTATATCAGATCAATTTATGCAGCACACTCTCAATTTCCTATGTGTTTCACAGTTCAACAATACCAGAGAAGAGAAATAATCCAAACATTCCAAACCAAAGAAATTAAGTGATGTAAAATTAAATTGTTGGGAGTAAAACACAATCCAGACTTTTTGATAAGAGATAATTTGGAAAACCTGAATGACGGAGCACTTTAACCAAATCGTTAACAAAGTCATAATCCCTCTTCTTTCATTACTGGTTAAATGTATTTATTGTGCTGGGACAACAGCCCAAAACAAGGTCTTTTTGTCAAAAAGGAAATGAGAAAGGAAAGTCTAATTCCACTTTTTCAAAGGTTAAACTACGGTGCCTTTTTAAAAAGAATATACCAGGCCCTCCCTGGTGGCGCAAAGGGTAAGGACTCAGCACTGAAAGCTACCCGTAGAAGCTTTAATGTGAGTTCGAGTTCGATCCCCAACCCCAGAGGTGATCTACATGGAACAGCAGACCTCTCTTGGCCAGCCCACTGCTCCCCTCAGCAGTGTACTTCGTCGATCTGCCTGTTCTACTCCCCACTCTGTCTCTGGTGAAGCCTCTCACCGCCCCTGAGCCTCTGGCCTGTACCCCAATTCTGTATGCACAAATAAATAAATAAATCTTTAAAAAAAAATAATGATGATAATATACCATACTATATATATTATATATAGCATATGTACTAGTACTTTTCAGGAAGTAAACTATATATATGTGTGTGTGTGTGTGTGTATGTATATATGTACATTATAAAAATATATATTAATCACTATATAAAAGTAACCTGTTGTTACTTTATACACTATTTTATAAACAGACTATCTCATTTAATATGTCTTATTAAAGATTTTATTATGGAACCGTCTATGTCTTCTGGCTCTCACTTTCTCAGAGGTCACATAACTAATTCATCATCAACACCTGAATAAAGCAACACATGTATTTATATTCTATGGAAAACACAACTTCATTCTTTTATCATTTTTCTTCATGATCTTGCTGTATTGTTCTCTTAACTCATTGAATATAGTTTTCTGACATTCCAACATTCTATCTCTATTCCAGTCGGCCTCACTCTTCACTAATCTCTGGGTACAATCTGTTCATTTTAGAATCTGATCAGTTCACCTGAAACATTTTTTTTCAATAATCCAAATGACATCTCTTCCTCACAGACCTGTGTAATTCAGACATTCTTTATGTTCTCTCCTATTATGCCCCTCTTATTTTTTTCTATATCATGTCTATGGAACTAGACATGACAAAATTTCCTAAATTATACAGACTTGATTTTAGTGTTTACTAGGTATAAAATATCTCTCTTTACCTGGGCAAACTGATTCTTAAACCAGTTGGTATCTGCAGCATCTATGAATAGGTGTCCACTGTGAACAGATTTCAAATATTCAAATGAAGGGGAACATGCCTCTCTTACCTGCAATAAGAAATATTACTCCTCCTATGACAGCCATTCGCATCTTCTGCACCTCATCATCTTCCATGCACTTCATACACTTCATGCCAATTGTGGCCACACAGATGGCAAGTAGTCCCAGAAGGATGCCAATCACCATCAGGGCACGGGTTGCTTGCAAAGTACCTGGTAGAAAACATTTAGAACATGTGAAAATCATGTCTAGACCAAGCAAACAGTGGCATAAAACTAATGTATTTCTTTTAAAAAAAAAAGTTCTTAATTCATGTATATAAGAACTGGGATACAGATCAGAGGTACAGGAAGGAGGGGTGGGAGGTGAGTGGATTCACAAAAAAAAAAAAAGACAGAGTAGGGAGAAGAATAGGCATATTGACTGAAATACAGGGAACAATGGGAGGGTTAGGAGAGACCTGCTGCACATGTGGGTTACCTCTCTGGCTGGGGATGGAACTTGTGCTGCAGTGGCTTTGAATAACTTCATAGTGCTGCACTTTAAAAACCTTTGGGCTACCAGGGAAGCCCCAAAACTAAATATATTTCAATAGTGTATGGAAGAGAAAAAACTGAACCAGGAATATATATGGACACCTCAGTTTTCATGTTTTTAAAATTTTTTTGTTGAAGCATATGAAAAAATGTTCAATATCACTTGTAGTAAGAGAGTTGCAAATTAAAACCACAATGAGATACCACCTAACCCCAGTGAGAATGGCACACCTTAAAACAACTAGCAACAACAAATGGTGGAGAGGATGTGGAGAAAAGGAACTCTCCTGCACTACTGGTGGGAATGCAAACTAGTACAACCACTATGGAAAACTGTTCGGAGGTTCCTCAAACTGCTAAACATGGAGCTTCCCTACCACCCAGCAATCCCACTTCTAGGTATCTACCCAAAAGACACAAAAACACTGATTCAAAAAGATACCTGAACACTCATGTTTACTGCTGCTTTATTCACAACTGGAAAGACATGGAAACAGCCCAAATGCCCCAAAATGGATGTCTGAATTAAAAAGATGTGATACATATACACAATGGAATATTACTCAGCAACCAAAAAAATAAACACATGTCTTTTGCAGCAACATGGATGGAACTGAAAAAGATCATGCTTAGTGAAATAAGCCAGAAAGAAAAGGAAAAATACCGGATGGTTTCTGTCATAGCAGGAATGTAACGGAACAGGCAAGAAAATAATGATAATGATGAACAGTAATATACCAGAGACATTTTGTGGGGGTGAAGTGGAGAATGGGATCAAAAACAGTGGGGGGAGGGAAATGCACTGGACTATGGTGATGGGACATGGGTGATTTGGTGACAGGAAGCCCAAGGGGATTGCAGCTGAGATGGAAAAATGAGCAAAATGATGTAAGAATAAACTATTTATTATACATATATATATATACATATAAAAGTTTTTTGTTGATGTTGTCAGTAATCAACAAGGTTTCTTCCTCAGAAAAGCAAATAACCCAGGCTGAATGATGAATAAGAAGCCCTCTAGCTCTAACATTTGACACTTTCAACATTAAATTCAAAAATCCTCTGGAAAAATGATTAATGAGCCGGTTGAACAAGTTTAGCTGAATGACTACCTTTTTAATCCTCATGAACAGAGCATAGGTATTATACTTAACATCAAACCATTTAAAATTGAATAGTTTACAATATATCTTGGAAATAGGCAACAGCTTTTCATTCCAATCATCAAGACTCAAAACAACTGTTAAATTTGGGAAATTGATGAATCTTTGCTAAATCATCATGGTTGGATAAGCATCATTTCTATCTCCAGTTACTGAGGTCAGGAATGCCAGTTTTGTTAGCATACAACAAATAACTATTGTAATATTGGTTGGGTACATGCTACATTCGTATTTAGAGCTATTAACAGCTTTAAACTGTGATGTTATAAGACTGAGCACAATAATTCAATGTAGTTTTCTCAGGATTCCACCAGTTTTCCAATTGTCTATTATTGTTGTTTTACTGGGTCATGACCTATTGAAGGATTGTTTTGATATGATACCTAAAGGGTAAAAACAGGACATTCATATTTCAAGTTGGTGGCATTAATGGGCATGCCTAGAAAAATGAATTGAAGCTGTGCTGGTTAGGAGAATTTGTTTAAATTCTACATTTATTTTCTCCTTTCAAATAAGGATTTCTCTCCGACAGCATTAACATATGACAAATCTTTTTCAGGTAAAGATTATTTATAATATAACAAAGCATGCTATCTTGGGTTAGTGACCTTTGAGAGCAGTTTCTACTATGTAAAGTATGACTGATACAATCTCTCACAGGGAAGTTGGAAGAATAAACTTCTTGATGATCTTCTATGCCACTCATTTGCCTAAGGTCCGTGTTAGCATTTTCTGAGTTGAGAACTCAGGTTACTAATCATACTTAGAATATAAAATTTCTAAAACATCATTCAGTTTTAACTTACTGACCTCTTCAATCTTGCCACACCCATTCAATCCATGATAAAATTATATTAATAATCTCTTTGGAAGAAGTATCAGCTATTTTTTTTCTATTACATAAAATATCTATTTTTCAAGCCAAAACCAAATTTTAACTTAATCAAAAAGCAAAAACAGAATCAACTTCCTCTTCCCCTCACAGTTCCATCTACCTTTTCATAAGTTTGTGTGGTCACATCTGAACTCCACCCCACATCATCTTATGATTCCAGTGTGGTACAATTGCTGCTGAAACACACACACATCACACACCATGGGATTATAGGACCAGAAACTTCTTACTCAGTTTTATTTGGTTATTGCAAAACTTCTTCCACCATACACCTTCTTCATACACCACTGTGGTATGCAGAGGAAAGTACCAAAAACTCTACTGTGATGATAAGCCCTTCTTCTGATTTACCAGCAGCTATTACAAAGATAGCCATTCCAGAGGAGAAGGAGAACAATAAAACAACTAAGTTTGTATAGGTAATACACATTTTTAAAAGTGGTCATAAGATTTCACACAGAAGGGAAGGTACTTCCGGCAGGGAAATACTTCAGGAGGAAGTACTGAAAGTCAGAAGAGAGGGTCCATAGGCTTAGAGCCGGAGACTGTGGTCCATTTGGCTGGGACTGCCAGGGTTTAAAAACAGGTCTTGCATCTGAGAAAACCCTCTAATCCTGGACAAACTTCAACAACTGTTCCGTCTACTTGAGGAGGGCAGGATACGAAAGTAAAATATGACCATTCACAGGCCTTACAATCTCAGATTAGGTGTTATATTGTAAATATAATCACAAGTCACTGGAGGTCCTTAGAAAAGGAATGATAGGATTTTACTCTCAGTAGAGAAAGTATAATTAGTAAACATTCTTCCTATCGTAGCCCTTCAAATGTGTACAGCTTTTTAATCTCTCAGCCACCTCCATTTTTTTTTCTCATAAATACTCAGTTTTCTAACCCTTTATTAATCAACTTTTGTTATTTTCTCTGATCTCTCTCCAAGTTTTCAACTTTGTTTGAGCCGAAAGGTCCAATCCAGACCCAGCTTTAAAATAATCATCCTGACCTGCACTTCACAGAATAGCAGGCCACCAGCCCAGCAGGTAGGAGCACTGGTATCACAAGGTACTCTTCATGAAGAGTCTGCTGGACCTCAATCTTGTGAGTCAGGCCTGTATAAAACCTCCCAGGCAGGGTGCACACATGGATGCTATATGTCGGGGCTCCATCTACCTTCACTTGAGATAATCTAAGATTCATTCTTTTCATCTCTAAGATTTTTCCCCCTTCAAGTTCTTAGAGAAAACACATTTGATTCACATACCTATTTGACTCTTTCTGCTTCTTTTACAAAGTTACTAAGGGGGAGGGGGCAGAAATTCTGATCAATGTTTGCTACAAGGCCCAATATTTTTTTAATTTCTTCAAGAGTCATGTATTGTGTGTTATCATACACAAAAAAATAATGAAGGAAATAAAATATAATCTCTATTTTGGAATCATATAAATCATGCAAAGCAGTGGGATCATGTTTCATTTGTGAAACTCTGAAAGAACATTATTATTTTGCAAAAGAACATTTTTTATTTACTTCCTGCCATCTATTAACTTTCAAAATGTCTGTGTTTTACCACATTCCATTTTAGGGTGCAAATGAGCATGAAACAATCCCATCCGGAATCACTAGAGACATCTAGATGAATCATTAAATAGTTACACATTGGGGAAATGTAAAAATGTTACCAAAAATAAGCCTAAAGATCATAGGATCATGAAGACTCTTGAGCCAGGCATATGTAATGATGGATTACAAGTCAAAGTGAACGAGTGTTGTGACACGAGTCATGAAGGTTTTATGTGCAGATAGAATCTAAATTGCATAGTTTTCAGCTAGAACTAGATGAATCCTATAAATTAAGCTCTTATGGAAGGAAGTCTTTCAAGTCAGAGATCTAAAACACATAATTGTGAGCTCCTACATGACTTGGGCCAGGTATTTGTTCACATTTTCTTTCTGAGCACTAAGAAATGTACCTGGCAACCTACAGGGATTAGTTTATCTGGGTTCAATGAATTCAAATTAGAAGTCTTTTCCCTTTCAAAACTGAACATGATAGGTAAAAAACACAACTGTCATTGGCTTAGCATTTGAAGTAACACTGAAAGCACCTCCCTGTACAGCCTAGGGATGTTAAAATCCTGCAATATAAAGCCAGACTTAGTTTCATCTAGACTTCAGTAAAGCTAGAAACTTTTACCGGGAGAAAAACTAACACTTGTTGCTTGATTTAATCAATTTTTTTCTGAAGCTTTAAATTTGCATCTAGTGAGTTTTCAAGACATTTTTGTTCCCTAGTGGAAGGATTTTTAGGAGGGCAGAGAAGTGGGAAGATGTTTGAAAATTATAAATAATATTTCAATGAGAGACATGTAGTACAGACTTCTTAATGCTGAGCTGATCTTATTAGATAAAATCTAGGAGCAAATATTTCCTGGCCTATTACAATAAGCTTGCAGATATGGCTATTATTACTATCACTCAATAAAGCTGTCAGTAAAGAAAATGGCTAGCAAACATTAAAGAATTTACACTATTATTTCTCATCATTATTCAGCAGTAAAGGAGGAAAGCAGCCTTTTAATTATACTTAACTGGACTGGTAATCTTGGGATTAAAAACTCCCTAAGGAGTCTTACCACTTGCAACCTGAAAGTGTAATTTGAAAACATTCTTATAAAGATCTTTACTTAAAAGACAAGGAATCATTTGGAAGTTACTGATCTACCTCCATTGGGTTAATCAACACAAATGTAAAAAGATAATCACAGAAAAGTGCTTTTCTTTTCTAAAGATATGCTATAGAAGCAACAGAATCTTTTGTCAATCTCTGATACCATATATGCTACTTACTGGCCCTATTACTCCATGATTATTCTGTATACCATATATCATAAACACAGCAGATTTTAATATCTTCACATTTTCACACAGTCCCTCTTGCGTTAGTAGTTGCTTAATATTGGACAAAAAAAAAAATGAACTATCAGATGATTAGAACAAAAAATGTTTTCCATAATTAAATGAGTTCATCACAGACTGTCACCCAACTATTCTCTTAAGTCAAAGTCTATTTATTAAATCTTTCACTTTTACTCAATTCAAAGTTTCTCAAGCATCTTCATTGTTAGATATTTGTTTTATTGATAGATATGAGTTGGTGTCACTGGGTGTGACCTCAGAATATGGCCTAGTCAGTAACTGAAGTGGGATAGGGTAGAACTTACCAATTTCCAGGATGTCCAGAGTCATTTTGCCTCTTTTATTTCTGAGAGAAACCGGCTAGTGATTAAATTGAGGCTTCTATATAACCTTAATGTCACTTACTCATCCCTTTAATCAAGGGAGCCTTGACTATGCCATTTACCTCTTTCCTTTCAATCACTGCAATTAGTAATATAGAATGTTGACACTGGAAGGAATCAACATCAGCACTTTATAAATCACCTTCACTGCATCTCTAGGAGCAAGAATAGAATCTGGCCCACATTTGGTGAACCGGTGAATGATTCATGAATTTATTTCCCCACTCCTCTCACTCTGCTGTATTTATAAGTGGGGTACCAGAGTAGAGAGAGGTCAAGTGATTGAACATTACACATATGGTGAGTTAAAACCAAGCTAAGATTGAAGTCTTCTGATCTGAAGTCCAAATTTTTGTTTGACTTCCATCATTCCAAAATTCAGAATTAATTTTGAACACAGATCTGAACACCACTGTCCCTTTAAGCATCTTGGTTCAGCAGGCGTAATGCAGTGTGGAGAAGTATAAGTGGGTGTCCTCCTCTCTGCTTATGCTTCAAAGTTGATTCAAGTCAGTGATTTTGTGCCTGACATCATGGTGAGAGTGCTGGGAAACGTCCTGACAACCAGTGCTCATTAAGCACACCTACACACATGTGGATTCATGCAGAGCAAGTTGAACAGGCTGGAAGGGCTAACAAACAAATTACAGAATCCCAAAGTTAGAAGAGACTTGAGAGTCTAGCGTAACCTCCCATTTGTCTGGTGCTTAGATTTTCCCCATTAACATTCCTACAAAATGCTTACTTATTCTCTGCTTGCATACCTCCTATCATGTTACCTCTTGGCACAGCCCAATCTTTGATGGCTCTAGCTTTTAAAGACAAGTAAAAGGAAGCACATAACTATACACATAAAATAAGCACTAGCTTCCCAAAGATTTGGGAGTTGGATCAAAACAAGGCAAGGTGTACAGACATATCAAGAGGAGTCTATTGTATCTTACCTGGCCCTTTCTTGCACAATATAATTTTCAGCTGCAGCTGTTATCAATGTCAATAAACACATATTTTAGATAGATTGGGTATTGTCTCAAGTGCAGTAAAATCACAACAGTCAGGGTAACGTCTGTATCCACAGGAGATTTCTCAGTTGCATTTTCATAAGCTGCTTTTTAAAAACCTGGATTTAAAAGAAATCCTGCTGGATCTTGCATCCTACATTGATATAAGCACACTGGATCCCCTGAGATATGTTATGAGATCATGTGCTTTTTACAAGTTAACACTAGTTATAGCAGGGCATCAATGGCTTTTAACATGTCTAGTGTTAACAACCTTGATAAATCCCTGTTTTTAGACTCTAAGATGTCAAGTGGGCTCACTGGCAAGCAGAATAATGTACCACATTTTAGGAAACTCTCAGATAAGCTTTTCACCTAAAAAAGCACTTCCTGGAATGCCACCTTTAACAGGAAACACTATTAATACATAAGGTAATCCTGTTCACCTCTAGATGACACAAACCAGCCAATAAATCACTACCCCAGGTCTCACAGCAGGTGGGTGTGAGCAACAGTGCCCAGGTGGAGAAACTGAGACAGGTTCACTGGACTCCATCCAAAGGCATCCACAGTGAGTCACTGGTAGGCTGGGAGTACCGGTCAGTGGGTGAGTCAAGACTCCCTCTTCTGGGAATCAGTTTTGAGAGAAAGCCTTTAGCCCCACCTTGGATAAACTCTGACTGTCACACAAAAGAAAAACCACCCACAAAACAAGGAATCTGGAGTTTAAGACCACTCTGAAGTTTCCGCCCTCAGAAACTTCTCTCCATCCACCAATTCATCCACCAATTCTTCCTCATGACCCCCAAAATGACTAATGGCCTCCTTTCCTTCCAGGTGCGTATATCTCCACAGGGAGATTCAATGATTTTTTTCTCAAGTGCCGACTTCAGAAGTGTAAATATAGTTCACAAGGGCATTAAATAACAGATAATGATGAAACACAGATTAGGTATAAAGAAGTGTAACTAACCTACTCCTTATATTTGATATACAGAAGTCCTCCTTTGGTGACTTCAAAAAGCTGAAATGATAATACACCAACTAACCAAAGTCCACAGGTTTGTGAGATGTTTAAACATATTTTGAATAGTTTGATAATCCTAAATTGCATATGACTTTCGACACAACAAAGCAGCTGAAGTAAACTTGAGCAAAGACATCCACAGTTCACCCTCAGCAACACAAAGGGGACTGGCAGGCAAGTTTGTTTATCTAGGCAAAGACTAAGAACTCTTTCTTCCAATTAGTTTAAGGGCTTAATAGACACACAGTGCAAGACACAATACAACATCTCAAGGAAGACATTCCAGTGATGAATCGTTCTTACCTAAGTTAGTGGGAATTTAATGAGTTTCTGACAGAACACTCAAATCCATTTTCGGTAGAAAAACATAACAAAAGGGAAAAAGTCACCCTGTCACCATTCTCCCCCCACCCTCACAAATATTCCTCTCTATGTAATTCCTCCCACCTTGATCGAAGTTTTAAAAAAGAGAGAGAGAGAGAATCTATCACACAGACACTCCTTTGTGAAAGAAGGGCACCAGGAGAAGACCCACTCTTTCTCTCATCACCTCCCCCACAGCTGACCTCTGCTTTCTTCAGGTGCTTGTCCACTCTGGCACTTCTCTTCAGTGCCTTACTCTTCCTTTCATATTAGATGAGGGAGTTATTCAAAATTCTTCTTTCCTATCATCCTTTTGCTACCTGTCACTCACCTTCACCTTCCAAAGTAACTCCACACCACTTGCCTCCTGTGAAGTTCCCAGACTTGAAAGGTAAACCCTTCAGGGGAATCTTCAAGGAAGACCATGGAAGACTGACAAGAGGGCTCCGTCTCCCCACACTTTCTGGAACTTGGAAGAATCAAGAGATTCAAGCCCAAGTATGACTAAAAGAAACAGTTCAGTCATTTCACATAAAAGTGTGGGTTTTACTATGAAAAGTAATAGTAAATATAGTTTTTAAAACTTTTAAGATTTTCTATTTAATCGCACTCTTGAAAAGCCACAGAGTTGAAAATTTTCAAAGAACACCGCTTTCCTCTTCAAACCGTACCAATCCTCAATTTACTCAGACTCTGAGAATGTTCTGGAGAAACCCAAGAGCTCAAGTTTGAAATTTAGCCTCTCTCACTGGAATTTAAGACTAAAGGGGAGCAAAGAGTCTCCCCAAGAGTTAAAGACCAAACAAGAGCTTAGGTCTGGGTCTCACTCTCCCAAAATCAGGGGTCTCTCCACCTCCTTACAATATAGTGCACGATCAGAAGACTTGATCAATCAAAAGCTGATAAATGGGTAATAACAGAACAGAGTCGGCAGGTAGCCACTGGGAACCTGGTATCTCGGGGTCACGGCTGCAGGGGATTTAATGGGTGCGAAACACACTCACTATTGAGATTCAGCAAGGAGTCGAAGACTTTGCACTGGATTTGCCCGGTGCTCTGCGACACGCAGGACATCCAGAGACCTTCGTAGATGGCCTGGGCCGTCACGATGTTGTCGCCAGCATAGGAGTAAATCTTCCACTGGGGCAGCGCCGTACTCACGATGGCGCCGATCCAGCCCAGGAAAGCTAGAATAAAGCCCAAAAGCTGCAGCCCCGCGTTGGCCATGGCTCGCTCGGACGCCCGCGCCGGCTCAAAGGTGGCAGGTGCAGGAGGGGGAGTTCGCAGGTGCGCACCCGGGTCCCCGCGAGCGGCCCAGTCGCGCCGAGAAAGTTAGTTGAGGAGCCCACTCCCCGCGCCGCCGCTGGAGAGGCTCTGGTTTGGCCGGTCCCGGCGGGCCCTGGAGTTGGGATGTGAGAAGCTCCGGCAGCAACCAGGTTTACGTTCTGAGACGCCTTCCCGCTGGGCGCCCAGATTTAAAGCAGCTCCGCCCTCGGGACCCGCCCCGTGCGGCTCAGCGCCCCCTGGCGCTTTCGGGGCTGCTCAGGAGGAAGGCCCGGGAGAGCACAGGGGCCGGGGCAGGCCCCGAAACTTGAAGAGAACCCAGGAGACTCCAACGCCAGCTCCTTCTCAGCTCCCCTTTTTCTCCCCTCCCGTCAGCCTCCTCAGGCTCCCCATTCATTTAATCTACATTTTTCCATAATTGAATACGTATGCGTACATAGCAAAAATGAATAAAGATGTAAAACAGACCCTTCATGAGACCCAAACTTTCATTTTCAACTTTTTAAAATTATCTTACTAATTTCTATTTTCACTCTTCCTCCCCTCCCTCACACACACTTCTCCCATTTTTTGTTCAGTTTCCTCTCCCTTCTCCTTTCTTCCCTTTGTCCCACTCCCTCCACCTTTTCTTAGTTTTGCTGGGCATCATATGCCTTTTCAGCAAGGGTCATTAAAAAATATTCATATTGAGTAGTTTAGGAAACTGAGAGGAAACATGACTTTCATAAGATTACACAGCAGGCTAATAACATAACCAGTTCTCCTTTCCCAGCTCACCCTTTTTCCACTACATATCAACTTGATCTATGCTATCCTTTAATCTGTGATCTTTCTTAAGAAAATGCAAGCTACCCACCTTTACACACACACACACACACACACACAAGACTCTTCCCCACAGTCATTTGCCTAGGAGCAAAGTTTCATTATCAGAGGAACCTGGACAGTCAGTTCCTGATCCCCTGAGGGTGTTTCATTACTGAATTATCACATGTCCTTCATCAAAGGTGAGACATCTAAAAATATTTTTCAGTAGAAAGAGAACTGAGCCATGATTTAGGAAGTCTGGACTGTGACTCCCACTTTTGCAGGAACTTACTGGCCACCTCCTCAGGGTTTGGTTTAGTTGAGCCTTTAGCTTTTCTCTGTAGGTCTCTTAAGCTTCCTTCTTTTTTTTTTTTTAAGTTACTCAGAAATGGTTTTGTGGTTAGGAATAATTAAAATGTTTTCCCATCTGCTTTCTGTGTGTAGTGTTGACTGTGGTAATAAGAGAAACCTCTTTGGTTTTGGTAAAAACAGAAATAAACATGTTATGGAAAAACAAGATAGATCCCATAAATTACTGTGGAACTGTCAGCTTGTGGCAAAAAACTTTAAAAGTCCAGAGTATAGACAGCAAAAATGAGAGAAAATCTCTACCACTTGTGAGATTTTGACATTGGGAGAAAGAATCTCTATAACTTCTGCTCAGTTTTGCTGTGAACTTAAAATTTCCCTTAAAGACACATATGCAAAAAAGAAATCCACCACTCTGACCTACATCCTGGCTATCTCCAGATATCTTTGAAGGTATAAGGCCAAAGGAAGGGCTGCACAGATATGTGAGGACTAGCTTGAGCTGGTTGAAGAGATTTATGTGGAGTAAGCAAAATTAACACAAGTGCTGTTCTTCTTGTCCCAGCCTCCCAGACACCAGGAAGGCTCTAAATAAGTTCTACACAGCAGGAACCAGAAAAGCTTAACTATCTAGAATCATTCATTCATTCTAGGTTAGGATGGATGTTCTGTGGACACCTATGGGTGTGTATGAGTGGTATCAATCACATTTGATTTATTTATTCTCCAGAATTTTTAGCGTAGAGGGCATTCTCAGAATCACTGACATATGAACTTTCTTTTATCTTAATTCAGAATTAAAATGACTTTTAAAATGTTTCTTTTGTTGTTCAGATTGGATTGATGAAAACAAGATTGAGTTTGATGACTATTCACATGCATAGACCCTTTTAATTTACATTAAGACCCATTGCTATCAACATATAGTTGGCCAGGAATTGGGTGAAGAATGTTGTGGTCAATATGACCCATGTTTTGTTTTGTTTTTTTATTCCAGGTCTGTGTGAGGTTGATGACTTCATTCTCACAGCCCTATCTGGGAGGCTGTGGTGGAGGCTGTTTACTCCACTGTGACCCAAGCCCATCTCCAACATCCCTAATCCCGTCTAGTTTTCTATCCTTCCCAAGGAGCAAATAGGTGAGATAATGGCCCAGCACAAATGCATCAACTCAAGAGGAAAAACAACTTATGACTTATCATATATGAAGCATAAACAATACAGGTAGCCCTGTGATTAGAAAGTTTCTACAAAAACCAATGATGGTGTGCCAACCTCCTATTCTGTGTAGAAATATCTATTTACCCTCATACAAATTAGCTCAGTTTTCCTGTGAATAAGAATTAGACATTCTGGGCCCTCCCTGGTGGTGCAGCGGGTTGGAGCACAGCACTAGGAGGCTGGAGCCACTTCCACATGAGTTCCATCCTGCCTACCCCCAAGGTGATCCACATGGTGTGGCAGACCTCTCCTGAGTCGCCCGCTGCTCTTCTCAGCAGTATATTTTGTCCATCTTCCTGTTCTGCTCCCCACTCTGTCTCTGGTGAATCCTCTCACCACCCCTGCAGCTCTGGCCTGTACCCCAGTTCTGTATGAACAAATAAATAAATCTTTAAAAGATAAAAAAAGAATTAGAAGTTCTGAAAATTCACCCAGGTCTAAAACTCTGATTCTAAGTAACAATAGCTGACACTTGTAGATAACATGTTGTATTTAGGCATATATGATAATGAACTTGATTGTGTATGTACTCTTTCCTATGTGAAAGTGACAGAGATAAAAGAGGGTCTAAATGTTAGCAGAATAGGGCCTTCCCTGGTGGCACAAAGGGGTTAAAGAACAACACTGTAAAGCTGTCTTAAGCCACTGCAGCACAAGTTCAATACCAGGCCAAAAAGGTGATGCATATGGTGGGATAAACCTCTCCTGACCCACCCACTGTTCCCCTCAGCAGTTTATTTTAGTTAGTCTACCTGGTCTGCTCCCTACTGTGTCTCTGGTGAATCCTCTCACCAGAGACAGAGTGGGGAGCAGAAAAGGCAGATTGACTAAGTACACTGTTGAGGGGAGCAGCAGGCAGGTTAGGGGAGGTCTGCCGCACCATGTGGGTTACCTCCGAGGTGGGATCGAACTCGCACTGAAGTGGTTGCAGCCAGCTTGCAGTGCTGCGTCCTAACCTGTTGCGCCACCAGGGAGGGCCCACTGGTGTTGGCTTTTTATAGTGGGTTAGACAAAGATAGTCATAAGCAAACAGCCTATTGGAACATCTGATCACAGTTTGATACTCCTGGTATTCATCATGATCAACCCAAGAACTTGTTATCAGTTTCCTGACAATCTTGACCCTGATGCGTATGATGGTGTCAATATCTGACACTCATTCAGGCATCAACAGGGCAGGAATCTCAGTTTTGGAGTCTTAGTTTAAAGAAAATAAGACTATTAAGTCATATGGTGTATATGAGCAACCTATGCAAGGTGCATATGTGCACATTCTACTGGGTATAGGCCTTCCTTTCTCCTTAGAACCGGTCAAAAACTACTTTCCCTTGGTCATATTTAGTAAATTGAACCCCTGGGAACCTAAACTAGACACTCTGAGCTTTTAATTAAAATCTTACAGTATTTTTCTATGTGAACCAAAACAAGGAGACCATTGGCTTTTAGGGCTAATACTCCCCTATCATGTATTTCTACCTCCACTGAGCTATTCCATGCTGGGCTTGACTTTCTGCTTCTCCTGGCCCTTCTCTGCCCCTCCTGCCCCTGCTACTGAGACTCTATGCCTCAGGAATCCACAATCATGTGTGAGAAGTGAGGCTGCTGAGAAGAAAGGAAGAATGGGGAAACATCCAGTGACCTGCAGTTTTTTACACATCCATATATAACTGGCTTAGTCATAAACCTGAAAATTATGAAGGAAATAAAAAAAAATAGGTCAGACCATGGGTGGTGCCATAGAACAGAGGATGGTAGGTAACCCCTCTATTGAATTTGATCACGTTGAACTAAATATAAGAGCTAAACTCCCAGTTATATAAGAAAGAAAAAAAATGTTGATAGACAAAAGAAAATGCTTATATTGTTACCGGGCAGGGAGAAAGGGGTACCCCTGAACCCCCAAACCTGCCTGCTCTAAATAGGTTCTGCCACCTGTTGCATCAAGACAAAACATATAAGACTGTAATGAAAAGGAACTTTATTACAGTAAGTATGTTACAGAACAGGGAGAAAGGGGCACCCCTGAAAGCCCCAAACCTGCCTGCTCTAAGTGGGTTCTGCCATTCACCGCATCAAGACAACACATATAAAACTTTAATGAAAAGGGACTTTAATACAGTGAGTATACAATACAGAACACAAAGAATATAACTTCTAAATCAAACACCTGAAGTTACCCATCCCCTCGTGGGCAAAAGTCAACCCAAAAGGGGTTGGTCCAAAGCAAGGCCTGAAAGCCTGCCACAAGACTAAAGCACCTTCTGGCCGGGACCCATGGAAAAGGGTCAGAAATGGCCAGACAAGTCTGGGAGGAAAAGAGCAACATCAAAATCAATATAAACACTGCCATAGTCGACCTTCCGACTGGTCTCTCACCCACATCTCTTTCAACCAGTCCAGGGCCAAGAAATAAACATGGTTTCTTCACATGTCTCCCTTTGCTCCATGTGCCTCCCTCAGGTCTCCTTCTGGCTCTCCATCCTGCTTCCTTCCTCCTCAGATTCTTTCTCTTCTTTTCTCTTCTCAGCTCCACCCTCCTTCTGGGTGGGGTAGGTAACAAGAAACTTCCCCTTTTCCTGGAGACCACCCTGTTACAACACCAAATAATAGAATTACAAACTGGTGACCTGTATCTCAAATTTGACCTAAATATGCATTTTGTTTGAATTGCTCAGTAATTTTCCAAAAAGTAATTTAGTTTACCTTTGAAAAATAGGAAGATTTCCCCTAACAAAATCTAGATGGCAATGTTTATAGCTCTAGATGGTCTATGTGTTTCTTCATATCTGCAGTGTCTGCTGTTCCTACTTTTAAAAG